CACGGGAGCCGCCTTGCCTGCAGCTGGTGATCCTGATCGCCATCGGAATGCCCAGCCACAGGCAAGGTGGCTCCCCGGGACCCAGGAGCCCGATGACAAGGTCTGCAGGAGAAGCAGCGATCAAGCTATGAGGGGGAGGGTGGGGGGTGGGAGGAGCTACAGGAGCAGCTCGGGCCAGAGACTGAAGACTCTCACAGGAGTGAGGAGCAAAGACTGAAGGCTCCAGCCATAGCGAAGACTGTGTCCAGAGCGAAGATGGAAGGCTGTGGCCAGAGTGAAGTTTTGGGTCCTGGGTGCCAGAGAAAAACTGGTGCTGGCAGCCAGGGGAAAGAAGGCCTATTGTACGAATCCATGCAACAGGCCTGTAGTATATATATAAAAGCCTAAATGACCATTATGACTGAATGGCCAGAACAATAGGAACAACCGGTCAAGCAATAGCTATGATGTGCAAGGACCACCAGATGCTCAATACAGGAACTGCCCCCTAGTGGTCAGTGCACTCCCACAGCCAACCTCCCGCAGCCAGCCAACCTCCCGCGACCCCTCCACCCCTACTGGCCAGCCCCAATCAACCCTGATTGCCAGCCAGGCCGAGGGACCCCACCTGTGCATGAATTCATGCAGCGGGCCTCTAGTTAGAATATAAAAGAAGACAGAAATCACATATAGGGTTAAATCTATGCAATAAAGAATCATAAATTCACTGAAGTTTAAATAGAAAGTCAAAACAGAGTATGAGATGTTTTGCCACTAAATCAAGTACATACTAAGATATTTTTTAAATTGTGGTAAAATGCAAAATATCTACTATATAAGACAAAATCAAAAAATCTCATTGGCAAAGAAGTTTGAACTAATGCATAGAAACAACCACAAAGGAACAGCACAAATAGGGAAACACAGAAACAAACCCCATATGAACTAAAAGAAGGAATCACCAGAAAAGGAAATAAATGAAATGGAGGCAAGAAATTTGACAGAGAAAGAATTCAGAGCAATGGGTATAAGGATGCTAAAAAGGATGGAAGACAAGTTTAACAACATTGTAAGAATTAAGAGAAAATCAAGAAGAATCAAGAGGAAATAAAGAATGGTATAATTACAATAAAGAACAGAATGGAAAGTTTCAATAGTAGACTAGAAGAAGCAGAGAACCAAATCAGCGAGTTAGAAGATAAGGTAGAAAAAACACCCCAGCAGAGCAGCAACTGGGAAAAAACCTTCAAAGGCAGGAATAGATCCTAAGGAAGCTTTGGGACAACACAAAACAAAACAATATCCACATAATACTAGTGCCAGAAGAAGAGGAAGCAGACCAAGAAATAGAATACCTGTTTGAAGAAATAATGACAGAACACTTCCCTGACTTAGGGAAGAAAAAAGTCACATAACTCTAAGAAGGACACAGAGTTCCAAACAAGATAAACCCCAAAAGACCAACATCAAGACACATCATAATTAAATTGGCAAACATCAATGAAAAAGTAAGAATCTTAAAGTCTGCCAGAGAGAGACAGAAAGTTACCTACAAGAGATTGCCAATTAGACTATCGACTGACTTTTCAACAGAAACACATCAGGCCAGAAGGGAATGGAGTGAAATATACAAAGTCATGCAAAGCAAGAGTCTGATTCCAAGAATACTACACCCAGAAGGTTATCATTCAAAATTGAAGGGGAAATTAGGAGCTCCACAGATGAAAAAAAAAAGGTTAAGGGAGTTTATTACCACCAAGCCAGCTATGCAAGAAATGCTAAAGGGACTGCTTTAAAAAGAAGAAATAGAAAGGGAAGAAGGAACACAGGCATAAAGAATAAAAATGGCAACAAACAACTGCCTATCCTATATAAGAGAGGAATATGCTAATTAACCCTGATATGCTAATTAGTCACTACCAGTCAGGCACGGCACAGGAGCGGCCCCCAGTGGAAGTGCCCACCTGCAAGGCCATTGTGATCCTGCGCTCCAGGTCCTGGATGCCAGATGGAAATGCAGGAACTTCAGCAAACAGGCCACCGAGGTCCTAAATGAGTATTTCTATTTCCACCTGAGTAACCCATATCTCAGTGAGGAAGCTAAGGAGGAGCTTGCCAAGAAGTGTGGCATTACCATCTCTCAGGTCTCCAACTGGTTTGGCAACAAGCGGATTCACTATAATAAAAATATCAGAAAGTTTCAAGAGGAGGCAAACATCTATGCTGTTAAGACAGCCGTTTCTGTCACCCAGGGGGGCCACAGCCACACCAGCTCCTCGGCACCCCCTTCTTCCACAGGCTCTGGTGGCTCTTTCAATCTTTCAGTTTCTGGGGATGCCCGGGCTCAATTGAGATCACTATCCTGCTTCCCAGGTGGAATCACTCCGGCACTCGATGGGCCCAGGGGCTACAGAGATAACCTCGGGGAGGCCAGATGGACAGCCCTCGGGAAATGAGGGCAAATGGTGGCTGGCAGGAGGCTGTGACCCCATCCTCAGTGATGGCCCCAACAGAAGGACAAGAGAACATTCATTCTGACACTTCCAACTGATCTCACCCCTCAGGGCCACAGGGTGGGGGCTCATGAGGTGACTCTTGACGAGAGGACAAAGGCATCCAGAGGACACGCCCCAGACACAGGGGAAACACAAGATGGAGAAGGGCAAATGGGGTCGCCCTACCCTAGCTGACTCAGTGCTGAGGTTGCTGACTACATGGTAAGGAGAAAGGGGTCCCCTAAGTGGAAGGTGGGGTCTGTCTCCCCCTTTTTCCCTTCTTTTCAATCTTTTTCTCTCCCCATTTCTTAAACAGAAACATACCCAGAACCCTATCTTTCAGATCCTCTCTCTCTCATAGACACATACACAACTATTCTGTTTCTCTCT